CCTAGGCTGGTCTCAAACTCCTGAGCCCAAGCAATCCTCCCGCTTCAGCCTCCCACAGTGCTGGGGTTACAAGTGTGAGCCATTGCACGTGGCCAACAGAATTTCATATTGACTACAGCTTGTAGTGCCAATTTCTTGGCTTTTAACTTGAGATGGGAACTAACAAATGTCCAATTTTTTTTTTTTTTTTTGAGATAGAGTCTTGCTCTGTCACCCACGCTGGAGTGCAGTAGCGAAATCTTGGCTCACTGTAACCTCCACCTTCTGGGGTTCAAGCAATCCTCACATTTCAGCTGTCCAATGGGATTACAGGCATGTGCTGTGATGCCCAGCTAATTTATATATTTTTAGTGGAGACGAGGTTTTCCCATATTGGCTAGGCTGGTCTTGAACTTCTGGCCTCAAGTGATCTGCCCGCCTTGGCTTCCCAAAGTGCTGGGATTACAGGTGTGAGCTACTGTGCCCTGCCAGATGTCCAAACTTACTCCTTCATTCTCTTAAGATATCCAGGCAGAACCTGCCTCTTATTGTTGCTCTGAGGCTGAAGGTCAATAAGAATGACCCCTATTAATGCATTTGGAATAGGACTTGTAATGACTTGAGACTGACTGCTTCTGGACAAGCTGGATCCTGTCCTTTTTTAACTGAGATTAGACAAGCAGCCTATGTCTATCCTACAGATAATATTTTATTGCCATGTAACCTTCACACATGAGTATGCCTCATAGTCTAATTGTAGCATGAATGGTTTATTCCCAAACCCTAGAATTTTAGGCTGGTATCTTCTCTCAGTTAATTGACTTTTATACACCTGAGGCATATTTTGCAAATTTCTCATAGAGAAACTTTTAAAACTTGGACAAGATATAACATAGAGGCAAGAAAAGGGCAAGTGAAATGTTAGATGTTTCATATTTTATTAGACTATAGTCGTGTAAAAACTCATCCTGTGACTATGACTGCAGGAAACCAAGGAAGTGTTGTCACCTTATATTCTGTGGTGTAGTGATTGGGAGTGCCTTACCTAACATCTGTCTGAAGGAGGTTGTTTGGGACATGCTGGGCTATTTCATGCTTCACTAACTTACAGAAAATCAGAGGGATAGTACCTATGTTTTTTCTTTTATATAAATTATTTTCAGTTGTGGGGATATATACATTTTGTATAGCCAGTAGGAGGGAGAAGAAATCCGTTAAAGGTTTGGATACCAGTATAGATTTGAATTATTTTTTTAACTTTTTATTTTGAAATAATTATAGATTCACAGGAAAATTAAAAAAAAAAAAAAAAAAAAAGTGTACAGGGAGGTCCCATGCACTCATATGTGTGTGCATGTGTGTGTAATTCTGTGTAATTTTACCATATGTATTGCTTTCTATAATCACTGCCACAATCAAGGTACTGAACTGTGCCGTCAGCATAGGGCTTCCCTGTGCTACCCCTTTGTAGCCACACCCTTCCCTTTTCTCTTGGCTGCGACTAATTTGTTAGCCATCATTATTATTTTTATTCTAAGAATGGGCTATGAATGGAATCATACAATATGTAACCTTTTGAGATTGGATTTTGTTGTCTTTGAATAATTCTCTGGAGATTCATCTAGGACGTTACATGTATCAAGTTTGCTCCTTTTTATTGCTAATATTCCATAGTATGGATATACCACAGTTTGTTTTCCATAGTATGGATATACCACAGTTTTGTTTTGTTTTTTTCTTTTCTTTTGTGACAGAGTTTCGCTCTTCTTACCCAGGCTGGAGTGCAATGGCGCGATCTTGTCTCACCGCAACCTCCGCCACCTGGGTTCAAGCAATTCTCCTGCCTCAGCCTCCCGAGTAGCTGGGATTACAGGCGTGCGCCACCATGCCTAGCTAATTTTTTTGTATTTTTAGTAGAGATGAGGTTTCACCTTGTTGACCAGAATGGTCTCGATTTCTTGACCCCGTGATCCACCTGCCTCAGCCTCCCAAAGTGCTGGGATTATAGGCGTGAGCCACTGTGCCCGGCCTTACCACAGTTTGTTTTAACCATTGCATCTGGAATGTTTCTAGTTTGGGGCTATTATGAATAAAATTGTAATAAACATGTACCAGTTTTTGTGCAAACATAAAGTTTTCATTTCTTTGAGATAGATGCCCAAAAGTTCTATTACTGGGTTGTATGGTAGATACATGCTTAGTTTTGAAAGAAACTGCTGAACTGTTTTTCAGGATGGCTGTACCATTGACTCTTTTGAATGAAAATGTTTTGTAGGATAAGATGTTTACTGTTGCTATGAAATGTATCTGTTGATTTTGGTAGCAATCCTGTTGCCATTAACCTGTGTGGCTGCTTCTATTGGCCTGACTTGGGTGAGAAGGTAATTAATTCCCTTTAGCCTCTCACTTGGGTCATCAGTCATTTTGATGGTTTCGGCCCTCAGAAGGAAACTCCCTCAGCTTCCCCAAAACCCACACAAACTGCCCAAGCAGAGCACTCTTCTTCTCTGTCTTTCCTTCTGTTTCTAGAGAAGAGTTAGCCCCAAACCTGATTCCTGAATCCTATCTTTAGAGAGTCATTTTTCTACCTCTGTCCTTAGACCCACCCATCTTACTGGTTTCTGCCTAAGCATTTAAACATGCTCAGTTCTCTCCCATGTTGAAATTCCCTTCTCTTTGACCTCATCCACTACTGCCCTGTCTGGCCATTCTTTCCCAGCCACACTTGTTGACTATGCTATTTCTTATTTCTCTGCCTTACCCTCCCCTTACTTCCCAATATACAGTATTGTAATCGAGTTTCTCTACCAGACTACCCTGGAACTTGCCTTGCTGGTGTCTCTGGCAACCTTCTGATAGCTCAGTCTAAGGTAGGTGTTTCAGTGTTGTTCTTACTTGACATCTAAGTAGCACTGAGCATTCTTGATTATGTGTGTGTGTAAGTGTGTAAATACTTTTTTCTTGTTTACTACCCTTTTGATTGTTGCTCTTAGTTGTCCTCTTCTGGTTTCTTCCTCTCTGCGTATCCCATAATTCTTCAATTCCTCAGATTTCCACATAAGGCTGTCTTTCCTCATTTGGGTCATCACACCTTCCCATTCTGCTGCCTCCCACGTCTTCATCTGCAGCTCAGACCTCTCCTTTCAGCTCCAGACCCATATGTTCATTTGCTTTCCAACTACACCTCCACCTAACTCTTTCACAGACCTCTCAATCACAGCACATTTAAAACTGAATTTAATCTTTTCTCCGGCACCTTTGCCTTTTAAAAAGAAAAAATCCTGACTCTTCAGTGAGGACCAGTATTGTTAGTATCACGTATATAGCAGTTGGAAGTAGTTAAAAACCACTTGTGTATAATTGGGTTGCCAAGTTAACTAGAGTTAACATTCTCCACTCACCATACAAAGCATCCTGACCCCATACCAGTCACCCACAGCCTGCCGTGGCCAGTAGCCATCTCATTAGCACTCCGGAACTCTTGCTTCTGTCATCAGTCGAGTTGTGGTGTTCTCATACTGCTTTATGCTAACTATACTTTTATGGCCAAGTTCTTAAATATTACAAAGCTGAAACTGAGTGTGAAAAGGAATTTTTTTTTTTTAAACTGAATGCTTTGGAAATACTGAAAGATAAGTTACTAAAATATATATCTGCCGTGGAATTAAGGAAGAGCGAGGCAACTGAAAAAGGCTGGTAAAACGAGTTCGACTCTAGAAAGATACTGTTTCTCAAGTGTTTACGATCTCACTTCACTTCAAATAACATCAGTTTGGAAGTGGTACTCCATAGGTGGGAAAGTGATTAGTGCAGAAAATGTGGAATTCCAGTCAGTACACCTGTAAAGAAAAGACTCACTTGAAGAGATGAAGAATAAATGGG